AAATGGAAAGGGCGTTGGCTTTTCTCTTTTCTCTCTCTCTCTCCGTCGACGTCGCGAGCTTGAACTTGGCATCTGTCTCTCTTTCTCTTGGCCGTGGTTATAATTTTATCCCGAAACGTGTGTATGTGTGTGCGTGCGTGCAGTGATTCACTCTCTCTCTCTCCACGTTATCGCCTCTCTCCTTTCTCTCTCTCTCTCTCTCTCTCTCGTCTATCCCTCTTGTGTTTCAATTACGATGAATTAGTTAACGACTCGCGTGACGGAGCGGAGAGAGCGGTATATAACGCACACGCCACTTCTTTATTTTTTTTTTCTCTCTCTCTTTCATTCCCGTCTTTCTCTCTCACGCGCGCGCCTTTATACAAATCCCAAAAGCCAATCTCTGCTCGAGTGAAAGTACGAATAGCTCGTACTACAATGTGTCTAGATTTTAGCATGCGCGCACTAATCGTTGCACAAAAGCTCGTCGTGTAGAACGAAGAAGCTTGCACGATTGCTCTTTGGTCGGCGTCTTCTTGTGCGGCATGTATGTATATTCTTCTTCTTTTGTACTATACACACTTGGACATCATTCGGGAGTCATACTCACTCGTATTCGCGTGTGCGCTTGAACTTCGCATCGTATATTGTACATATGCGTTTACGGCTCTTAATTAGTTAATCACCCCTCTCAATTGAGCTTCTTCTCTTGGACTCCCCGCCCGTACGACGAGAGTATGACTCGAGCTTACTTTCGGTCACGGCGTACAACGATAAATAAAGCGATAACTATATACACGACGAATTCGTGGGAGTCACATCGATCTATCGATTTCACCCTGTTCGTCTCTCGTTTCTAATACTCATAAATCGGTTGTAATGCTGCTGCTTTGCCGCTAGTCTTCCGTGAGAGAGAAAAGAGCCCCAATATGGATCTGTCTATAAATAAACTCGCGAGCGCGCGAGTATCATCGTCGTCATCTCTCTATACGTCGCGAAGCAGCTGCTGCAAAAGGTTTTGACAAAACCTTGGGGGTCAGGAGGAGAAGAAGAAGAAGAAAAACTGCAACGGTTCTCTCTCGCAAGAGATGATGATGATGCGACTCCGCGATGCCGCATGTTGGAGAGTACGAAGTAGCGTGTGCATTCCGTTACGAGGCGGGTGAAGAGATAACCTTTCTCTCTCGTCTCTCTCTCTCTTACTCTTTGTTCTTGGAAGCCGAAGATAGATGCCGATGTCTGCGCTTGCGTTCATACATACATACTGGACGATAGCAAAAAAAAAAGAACGAAGTAAGCGTTTAATTCATCTCTCTCTCGCGCGAGGAAAAATTTCAATAATAGCGGCCGCTGCAGCTGCAACAGCGGCGGCGCCGGCAGCAGCAGCAGCAGCAGCAGCAGTCCCGGGGATCGATGAACCGCTCGCTCGCAGCGGCAGCAACGCAACTTCCCCGGGTTTTAGAGAGATTTCGACCTCGTTTGCGGAAAATGCGGACGCTGAACCTCCCTTCCGACGACGACGACGACGCCTTTTTTCCGACTTTATACATACATACACGTGTGAGTGTATATTGCACTTTTATGCTCCTTCACTCCCTTTTTTTTCTCTCTCTATCTCACTCGAGCTTTGTGTAAGCTGCACCGGTGTGGTGTGGCGTGGTACATATACAAAATTTGACCCGAATATTTTGGATGGGTAGGCGGGGAGCTTTATGTATCGGTTCCGCGAGCAATGCACCTTTTTTCCTTTTTTTATTTTTCAATATCTTTCTAGGCCTCTCGTTCGTCGTCAGGTGCACATACCATGATACACGGGGAGGCACTTTAAAGGTATTTCGTGTGTGCCTCGTATATAGTATATAAGTTCGCGCGCGGCTGCCTCACGGGCATACACCACACTACACGCGATAAAACCAGTTTCGCGCGGCAAAACGAGTATCGCTGCTGCTGCACCGGCATTTATAAAATAGTTTCCTCGGTCGCGCCTGTCATCTCTGCTGCTGCTCGAAGCTCTTGGGGCTTGACCCTTAAAAGCATCGATATATGGGGACACGGGTGGGGACTATTTATTACTCATTGATAATGAAAAACCGATTGTTTTGTGGCTGCTGCTGCTGCTTGAGTCACACAGCAGCGGCATACATATATACTTGGTGTAAAGATAAGGATGAATAATGCACGTTTACATCTAGAAAATTGCAGGTTTCTCTCTCTCTCTCTCGTCTCGTTTATGTATATTATATGGGTGCGCGCGAGCGCATTAGAATCGATGATAAAGCAAAACTCGCGCGAAGGTCGGAAGTAACTATCGGAAATTCCGGCGTATATATGAATGTGTATACTTGAAACGAGAGCGACGGCGTTTATAAGATGTGCTTCGGTAGCGAATAGATACACTCACTTACGCGTATTATAGTATAGAGAAGGCGATGAGTCACGACGTTTCGTTTTAGCCTGTCTATATAATACGGCGCGCGAAAGAGGGCTATTATGTCAATGGTCACACGCACTTGTAATATGTATACGATTAAATGTATAGAGGTGTCCGGAGAAAAAGCGATGGATATAGTAGCGCTTCAAAGATTCACAGAAGTCGTTATATTTCGCAGCGTTTATTGTTTATTCGACGTTATTGAATATTTCATTAGCGCCTTATCGAAGTGGCAATTAATTGCAAAATTCCGATCTCTCTTTCATCGCCTCGTGCGCGCCCAGTCAATGACCACCAGGCTATAATGTGTATGTATAAAGCTAGCTATAAGGCCTCGCCTGTGCATACACACACACACGGACACTCTGGAAATAGTTGAGCTCGCAACGCGATAAGCGCCTTCTCACTCGCTCGAGCTTTTTTCTTAATAAATAATTCAACTCGCGGATCGATGAAAACCCTCTCTTTCTCTCTCTCTCTGCCCGGTGTCTAATAAATGAAAGACGCGCTTTACATCGTGCCCGTGTGTGTGTGTGTTATGTGTGTGAGCACAAGGCATGGGCTTTGTGTTTCTCGAGCATATAACACGGGTATTTTCGAAGAAATTTCGCGCACAGCGAAATCTGCTGCTGCTGCCTGAGGAGAGAGAGAGAGAGAGAGAAGCAACATTGAATGCCTCGCGCGCGAGTGTGTGTATATAGGCGCGCAGCAGCGGCAGCATGGGAGTTGGAGTTTGAGCCGCGCCCTTTCTCACAGTACTATATACACGCAGACGCGCGCACACACACACATATATTCACAGAGAGAAGCACGCGGGGCGCGCGCTTGCAGCAGCGGTAGCAGCAGCTCGAGAATACGAGAGAGAAGGACGGAGAGACAGACAGACACAGACGGACTAAAATCGATATCATTTCTTCGGTAGTAGCTCCGAAGCCAAGCCGCCACACCGGCCGGGGGGGTTTATACATGCAGTTCGAGAGGAAAAAATTCTTACGTACCTATCCCCTCGGACATTTAATTAAGGGAGGATAGAGAGAGAGAGCTTGCACGCGGATCTCTGGAAATTTTGCTGAAGCTTGCTTATACATACATGCCGTGTCACGCAGCAGCGGTGCAGCAGTACAGGCGCCGGGGAGTGTTTTTTCTCCTGTATAATATCTTGAGTCGAGAAGGGGAGACCTGTCGATTCATCATCGTATAACACATACACTATTTACATGGGAGAGGAGGCGCGAGATTTATCGTGTTCGGGAATTCGAGAGCTGCTGCTGCTGCTGCAGCTGCACACACACACACATGTAAAACGTCTCTAAAAATAATACGTGACAAGCACGCGCACCCACCCTCTTCTATACATTTCGTTGTCGCGCGCTCCGTTTTCTCGAAAAGGAGAGAACGAAAGATAGATAAAAAAGACGACGACGACGGAGGAGAACGAGGAAAATTGAAAAATAAAAAGTCCGCGTCTATTATTCCATCCTTGACAGAGGAAGAGGGTCTCGACGTGTATATACGATATATATAATTCCGCGCACGTTGAAAGTTCGGAAAACGAAATGAAATAAAACAAAAACATAAAAAGAAATGCAAGTGCACGACTAGCAGTAGTAGTAGTAGTAGTAGATACCACACCTCGGCTGTGTGGCTCTCCTGACTAGCCAAACGCACAGAGCGAGAGAGAGAGAGAGACGACGATCAATACGCGCGTGTACCTATATTATGCTCTTTCTCGCTTACTCGCACTATAACAGTGCATAGTGTATGTATGTGTGTGTGTGCGCTGTACAAATCGGTATAAGGGGGCGAGTGAGAGACGACGACGACGACGACGACGCTGCCGCTGCCGCGTGCCGCGTCGTTGCCAAGCGACGGAAGCTGTGTGTGCACACGCGCGGCGCGCTGCGCGCGCGTAAAGAGTTCATCGGCCGCGCGCTCTCTCTCTCTCGCATACATACACAATGTGTGTGTGTATATAACACGGATGCACACAGCAGTGGCCTTTATACGTATACATTTATATACATATATGTGTGTATTATATACGGCCAATTTTTCGAAGATGGGCGTTGGTTTTTTTTAATGACGAGATGCGTGGAATGCGCATTTTATTTTACTTACCGATATCGGAGGCTCTATTTTTGATTTGATATACGTATATACTGCAGGCAGGGTTTTTCCTAACTCGCGTGTGCGCATGCACCACCCGAGCCGAGCAGCAACCCTTTTTCAAACCATGGCGCGGCTCACGCGCGCGCTAATAATAGTAACGTACTTTTCTCTTCCCCTTCTCTCTCTCGATGTGTGTGAGAGATTTTTGCGCCTTGAGCCTTACACACGTTGTACACAAAAGAATCGCTTCTCTCTCTCTATCGTCTTTGTCTCGTCAAAAGAGAGCCCATAAAATCGATATACGCGCATTTGCATCTATATTACAACCACTCTGCGAAATTCCCGAAAACATCCATCACTCGGCCCGGCAGCGCAGTAACACGTGTTTTCTCGATCGAGACACGAGACTATACAACGTATCCGCCTATTTTTTAGAGAGACTCGTATTATAATCTTATGTGTCTTTTTTTTTGTTTTGCAGAATGTCGATCACAAGATGAAGTTCCGCTCGAAGAAGGGCCAGCTGCCCTTCATCGAGCTCAACGGCGAGGAGACGACCGACAGCAAATTCATCCTGCGCGAGCTCGGCCAGAAGTTCGAGAAGGACATCGACGCAGGCCTGAGCCAGGCCCAGAAGTCCGTCGCCCACGCGACGATATCCATGATCGAGAACCATCTCGTCTGGGTGGTGGCGTGCTGGCGCACCAAGAACCTCGACCAGATGCTCAAGGGCTACAAGGTCAATCTTCAGCACGCCCTTGGCACGCGCATCCCCAACCCCGTCCTGAATTTCTTCTTTAAATTCACCTTCGGACGCAAGGTAAGCGATCGTCGCCGGCGATTCGACGCGCGGATGCACCGTCATCCGCGTATATTGGACGTTTTTTTTTTCTATTCTTTTTTTTTTTTCTTTTTTTTGAAACATACACGAGAGAGTTGGATAGCCTTTTTTATAGAGAGAGCTCTTCTTTTTTTTCTCTGGCTGCTGCTCTTTTTTGATCGTGCGCACTCTCAGCACTTACAATTTTCTTTGTGAATGTTTAAAAACCGATTTTCACTCGAATCTCGCGACGCACACACGAATAATAGATGTTGAATTATTTCAAGTAGTTTATTATTATTAACAAAATTTGTGATAACCAATTGTATTATTGTTCAGCACGTTGACGAAAAATTGACTAAATTTTCTTATTAATTCATGGGTGTTGACATAAACTTGAAAAAGCATGACTTTTTGAAAGCACTCGGTATGCGCACTCTATTTGACGTATACAAGTGGGTACGTGTGTCCATCGGCGAAGAATAAAAAACATCTAGCCGGTGTATGTAAATCCTCGAGTTAGGTTTGCATCTCGATGACGGCCCACGCCGAGATACGTCGAAGACGAGTGTCGCGTACCGATTGCACCAAAGCACTTTTATCATAGTTCACTTAGTTTAGTCGTAGTGATATTAAATTTTAAAATTATATAAATTTTTATAACGAACGAAGAACGACGCTCCGAAAAGAGCGTAGTTGAGAGAAAAAAAAATAAATGTATGGATTAAAAAAAAAAAAAAAAAAGAAAGAAAAGAAAAAAAATATTTGGTTAAGACGCTTTAACAATGTGGAGAATCTGGTCAAAATAGTGATGAATAGTTGGATTGGTTGCAGGGCGCTCGCAAAGTCAAGGCTCAGGGCATGGGCATCCACACTCCCGAGGAGGTCATGCAGTTCGGTTGCGACGATCTTAAGGTGCTCAGCGACATGCTCGCCGACAAGCCCTTCTTCTTCGGCGACGAGCCCACCACGGTTAGTATACATAAAAAAATCTTTTTCGAAATTTATAATCAACCGTTATTTAATTATTCTCTCTGTTTTTTTGTACAACAACAGCTCGATGTGGTAGCGTTCGCTAACCTGGCTCAGATCCTTTACATCGACAAAGACATCACCTTCCAGCTGCGCGACTACATGACGGAAAACTGCCCCAATCTGGTCGGCCACTGCTCGAGAATGAAGGAGCTGTGCTTCCCCGACTGGGAAGAAATCTGCTCGACCCTGGACATGAACACCCACCTGCCCAAGCCCGAGAAGACCGAGGAGAAGGAGGGCAAGGAGGAGGCCAAGGAGACCAAGGAGGCCAAGGAGTCCAAGGAGGAGAAGGAGGGCGACAAGGAGAAGGCCGATAAGGAAGAGAAAGACGTAGAAAAGGACAAGGAGGTCGACGAGAACAAGGAGAAAGACAAAGAGGGGAAATAAATAAAATTAATAACGCACTAAGACAATTTTAACGATTAAAATTATAAGAAATTAAAAGAACGAAGGAAACAAAAAAAAATCACAAGATAATAAACAAACAAATAAAAAAACAAATTAAACGACAACAGACAAAAAACAAAAACAAGTTAAAAAAAAAAACAAATCGATGATGAGATGCGCCTTACGGCGAAAGCGATGTGAGCAAACGCAAAATCACTTGCGCCGTAACGGATTTATATATAATAATTAAATTGATTCATTGATTGATTAAAAAATTATTTTCGAGAAACATCCAAGTGAACATACGACGATTATTATGATTGATATTGTGTATTAGAGGAGAGAGAGATTTTAAAGAGACAGATTTATGATGAGTGTGGAGATATTTAAGAATTAATGAACATAAAAAAAACACACACAGATAACGATAGGAAGAGAGAGAGAGAGAGAGAGAGAGCGAAAATTTATAAGATATTTAGTATACGTTGAACTCTATTTTATACCTTGGATGCTCTCTATTTAATCTTAAGACCGACAAGATGCAGAAAAACATGCACGTATGTTTTTTACTCTTTCTTTTTTTTATATAATTGACGTATGACGGAAAATAAAAAGTGTTAGTCGAATAAGAAGCAAAGCTCGCGCACTTTCTGTCTCTGCGCTTCGCTTTATGTTCTATGTTTTTTGTACTATTGTAAGTTTCTTTCTATGTTTGTTTAATCGCAATTATGCTACATTCTAATTTGTTCTACGTATATATAGATATTATTTATGTGTATTAGTAACTGTACAATCGTAAAAAAAAATTTATCAAAAGAAGAAAGAAGATCGTATACTCAGACATTCATTTGTTGCGAGGAGATTTATATTATTATTATATATTAATGCTAATGAATTTGCGGTCTCTCCCTCTGATGAATTCGATTCTATCTTTTTTCTTTTTTGAGTTTTATTTTCTATATTTAATGTTTAAGTCAATAATTAAGCCATATTGTGTTTTTTTGTATCGCAATATTATTGAATGCAATAGCCTGCCGATTGTGGATGAATAAATCGTGAAATGGGGAAAATCGCAATCTCTACAACCAACAGACCATTATTTGTCGCGACAAATTCAAAAATTTCTCGCGAGAAATATTTCGGGAATGTTTCTATGTAAAACTTCTACTGTATTGTAAAACAATTACAGCACATTTTCACACTGCAACAAACACACAGACACAAGAAAAAAAAACCACATACAACATTTTTCTAAAGTACATTTGTAATGAAAAAGAAAAGAAAACAAATAAAAGAAATTAATGTACCCTAGTTACCAGACAATGAATCTTTTTACATTTGTATCAACACATGTGAATCATATAAGTTCTTTTGTAATGAAAAAACGAACAACAAATCAAAAATATGAAATATATGACAATTAAAAAAGAAATCTATTTGTAATCAAGACTTTTGCAAGGAAAAAGTAGCCGACTTTTCCTTCTTTTTACAATTAAAAAAAAAAAAAAATAACTTAGCCTCCGGTGCGTATCAAAAAATTTTAACACCATAGTAGACGGACCGTAGTAGATTTTTTAATAACGCAAAAGCATATAAATAAATTGCCATTTAAAAATCTCTCTCGTCGATATATATCACATTATATTCTGTCGTAGGTGGGGGAACGAAGAGAAGAGAAGCGAAAAGTAAAACGTCGCAGATTAGCCTCGCTAGTCCACACACACACTCACATTCTATTATAGCTCTATATCTCGCTCGGCGTGGCATTACCCGCAGCACACGCGCGCGCAATTTTAGTTTATATTATTATGAACGCGGATGCGAGTAATGACAGCGCGTGCATATTATATCATATAAATATATGTGCATTATGTGCGTGCGTGTACATGTGTGTATACTAATGTTGCTGCTACTACGCCTATCATAGGAGAGAGAGAGACAGAGAGAGAGAGAGAGAGAGAGAGAGAGAAAGAGAGCAGGAGGTGTTTGACGAAAGGAGGGCAAAAGTATATAAGTGCGCACGTCTCACTAACACGCTAAATATGCTTTATATTATATTAGGAAAAATTAAGGTTCTGAGTATAGAGTTTAGCAGGCTACACTGTGATGACAATGATGATGATGATTAATTGAGACTATTAGAGGGATGATGATGATGATGACATTTGCATCGGAGGAGATAGCTGTCAAGTATATAGGTGTAAAATCACTTTCATTCGTACGAAGCAGATGATGGAGATGACACGTAAAAAACAAACTAAATGCATTTGTATTGCGCGTTGAAAAAAAAAATTGATTATTACAGAACGACTCGAAGATATTTCGCTTGATCCACGCGTTGTTGTCTTTTTTTCTTTCTCTTATTATTTTGTGGGTGCGACAATCGATGGTTTCAACGACGACGAATCTGGATACGAGGACAATCGCCCGCGAGAAAAAAACACAAGAATTCGCGATCACAAGTGGGAACATTTTTGCGTCGTTCTCTCCGCGTAATAATTAAAGAAAAAAAAAGACCATTTTTTTCGACGCTGCTCGTCACTGCCTTAGCGCTCGGCTTTGTAATTTTCTATACATATAAATAATAATATAATTTTTATCTTTCTTACATTACGTAAAGTAAGACTGGTGTTTTAAATTGTTCTTCGCGCGACGATGAGATGAGATGTAACGACGATGAAGACGATCCCGTTCGAACAATCCACCTGCAGACTCTTCCTTCCCCTCGTTTCGTGCAATTTGTTTTACGCCGCAACAAATTTGCGTCGAAAGCCGCAAAAAATCGAAGGAGATCGTGGCTATTGTTCGGACTGGACGTAAGGAAAAAAATGCTTCTGTGTGTATATGTAAATGTGCAAGAGATAAGGAAAAAAATAATAATAATTAAAATTAAAAAAAAAAGGCGATGGCGAGCTGTGTGGGGTATGATAATTATTATTGATTATGAAATTTAATTTTCACTTCACTACGAATTTACATACGGATCGAGAGATCGTGTGGTGTTGACAAATTTCTTTTGAATTAATTCTTGCCAAATAAGATACGTTAAATTTGAAAAAATCAATCTTTTCAGTAATTGTTTGTTTCAAAACGTATAATTATCATTATTATTCGTGCTTCACCATCGCAGAGAGCCGCCATGTACGCGCTATAGATTGTAAGGCATTTTTGCGACTCACCACATCAACAAACAAACACACACACACACTCCCATCCAGTTGAATCATAAACAAAAAAAAATGAGTACACGTGTAAGACGATTTTTGTGTCATGTTGTTTTCTAATGAATTTACTCTTTTCTATTGTACCTCTTTTCTTGTGCGAAAAAAGGAAATACGACTCTCGACTGCGGCGTTGTCTAAAAAAAAAACAAAAATTTTTATAACGATGCATATTTATAATTATTACATTTATTTGTACATTATAGAAAAAAAGTACGTCGTATTGTATGTTTGTATGTGCATTATGTACAGGCGAAGGCAGCCCATAAAAAACACGCGATTTAAGTGGTATTAAATTTAAGACTTTCAGACAAGTGAATAAGTGAAACAAAAAAAAGCTATACACATTTGTAAGATGTATTCAACTGAAACGCGATTATTGATTATAAACAATAAAAATGAAGTAATAATAAAAACAAAAAATCTTATCTTTACAATAGTCATAAGTTTATAGAGATTATGATCGCGTATATTGGACATTTTTTTTACCACGAGAAAGAAAATTCAATGTGCCGAGTCGTGGATGTCTCGACTGCGACTGAGAATCTTTTTTTATATAAAAAAAAAATATTTATACAAAGTGTCTTTTACGCATCGAATAAACATTAACGTGGACGTTTATTGAAATGCACGACGCGTTTTTAAAGCTGATTTATCAAATGCTTGCATTTTTATTTTTAAGTTTTAATTATAAAAAAAATCGCTGGAGAATTGAGCAAAAAAAAAAAGAATTTATATTGTATAACCATTGATGGTTTTTTCACGCTGACGAACGAATTTTCGTAGATCTCCGCAGATTTATATACGGAAACGAAAGAATAAGAAAAAAAATTATTTCAACCGTAAGGGATTTGAGACGAGGGTGAAAATGTTTTTTCGCTATATAAGGCAGTATAACGTGTAAGAAAATAAACATAAACAACAATTATATAAATATTTATAAAATTTAATATTTAATAGATGAAATTATGAATCGCAAACTGTTTGTTTTTAATGCTCGGCGCTATATACATAATTATATTATCTGAATTTATCAATGATGCAATACGGATAAATAAAATGTGTTTATAAATCATTACAAGAATTTTATCATTCTGCCTTAGAAAATAAACTATGCGTGAGTACGTAGGAAATAGCGGAAAAAGTTTTCAAAGGAAACTTTCAAATCAATATTCAAAATCAAAACAAGTTTGTTGAGAAAAAATTTAATGAATTACGCAAATTATTCATCAACTATTTAAAAAAAAAAAAAAAATAGGAATTTAAAAAATTAAAATGAAGAGTGAAAAATAATTTGTAAAATGACTCCGTACGTATATCGATAACCGCAAATATTTCAAGAATTTGTACTTATAAGAGACATTGATAGTAATAACTTTCATTTATGTTAATGCGAAGTCGTTTCATTTTTTCTTATTGAACTATAAAATTTGACGAGATGAAACACGTGCAATCGCAGTAATAAATTAAAGGCATAATTCTTTAAAAGTTCTTAAAAATAATTTCAAACATTGTCGAAATATTGATAGGTCAGATGATAACTTGAAAATTTGCCGCTTTCATTCAACTTTGTTGAGCAAAATTTTAAAAGTCTTTTTTTTCATTCGTAGAGCGATAATAAGGCCATAATATACGATGTGATCTTGCTTATAATCTACGAGGCGCAAAATATTTTTTTTCAATCAAAAGATCCGATTGCTCAAAAAGATTGAAAATTATCGTTTACTCACTGTACCAGCATTTCTCAAATCCATGGGAAAATTCGAAGCCCCAGCTGACAGTATCATAGGTTTCGACGCTCTCATCATCATGATTAGCAACAATGATCTGGTCTTGGGAGAGTAGGCG